TCGTAACAGCGTAGGCATGAAATGGAAAAACCGCGTTATGAAAAGTTGATGACTCTTAACCGCATAGAGGCTAACAATCTTAAAAAAACAATTTCTATAATCTTTATTTTCAATGCTGTATTTTTGGTATTACTTCCACTACTTGGTAGAAAACTTCAGAACAAAAAATGACACAAACAAAAAAACAAAAACGAAACAAAGCGTTTCTCGTCGGCCGTTGTATGGCGGTTGAGACGTGCTTTGGTGGCTATATTTGAAGAGAGGCGGTTTTTAGAAGCCGATGGTTAATGCAAACTTAAATGTATTTATGACTGTTCGTTGGTGCAATAGAAAGTGATCATTGTAAAAAGTCTTAGATCCCGTCTACACGTATCCGTTTTTGATTGAAAACAAATATTTTCCCTCCGGTTTGGCCTAGTGCCGCAAAACGGATATTTTTAAAATGGAGATTTTTGAAAACACCGGCTTTTAGTTTACGCGTGGGCAGACGAAAAAGGAGATTTTCGAATACCATGATGCTTCGTATACTTCTAGCATGACCCGTTAGGATGCTAATGTATTTACATCGTTTTAGCGTTTTCGTGTGGAGGGGCGAAAACGATTCGAATACGCTACGTAAGGATGTGTACTTTTTTTTGAAAACGGCGAAGAAATCTCCGTTTTCAAAAATTTAATATCCGGATTTGTGTCGATGGCGCCTTATTTTGATCCAAAATTCAACCGTCAAATTATCCCCAGCGACTGTTGTTATATGAATTTTGTATGGACGATCTAAATTGAGCTTATGCACGTCCTATTCACTTTCTTCGCTGTTGTCGCTGTCGCTCCCTACCCCTACCCCCTTGCGGTTTTTTCTTGCTCACTTTTTTTCTGCCCTTTCCACAATCTGAACTCCTCACCAAGAACAGGTGGGTCATCATACGTTTGTGGGAAACTGCTCACCTACCCCTCCCCTAAGCCAACATTAGCACTAGTTAATTCTCACTTAGGGTTAGGGTTAGGCAAAATGTTGGCTTAGGGGATGGGTAGGTTGGCAGTTTCCCAGACACGTGTAATGATCCGAACAGCTCTTACCATTAAATAACCCTATAGGGTGGAAAAGCAACCCTCCAAGTTGCGACCATTTTAGTCGCCATGAAGCCTAGAATTTTGAAGCTGGCGACTTGATTTGTAAAAAAGTCTCCCTATACACAAAGAATGGTCGCCAAATGGCAACCAAGCAAAAACTTTAACTTGGAGGGTTGAAAAGTCCTGTATTTCGGCAGATGGCTTTTATGGTGGTCTTTGAAACTATATATGAGGCTGGCCCTCAATTTTTAACACCTTTTTTTTGTATTTAGAAAGACATTCAGAGGTCATTTAATTTATGACGGTTCGCAGTATTTTCAATTTTAATGTTTTTAGAAACCACGAAAAACTTTTTATATCATTAGGCCCCTGGTAATACTCGTTTTCATTGATTTAACAATTTTTAATTGCTCCATTGAAATAAAATCCTATCCGGCAATTTTCACATCCGGGCTTCAAAGTTTCAAAACAGCACCTACTAAATTATAATTTAGTATCCACATGTACAACGTCCTGCTCGAATTCTTCCTGAGTATGATCAGTTGCTAATGTGCGTATCTGTGGAGACCGTGGAGAAATGATGGCTACGTTATCAGCGATCCCTTTATTGACTTCCCTGCTTGTCGTAACTTGACCTTGTGCGCAGCACAAACTCTGTACTTTTGTAAATTCAGGAATTCTCCATGCATACACTATTGGGTTAACTAAAGAGTTTAAGTAATTAAATATATTAATTGTTAGCAGAAACAGTAAGTTTCGAGTTATGGAGACTTTGAGCACATAGATTAAAAAGTTTGCGATTATTAATGGAAGCCATGATAGTACAGTGATTGCGGACACGAAAAGCAAGGTTCTTGTCAAACGCTGGTTTTGATGGTCCCTGTTTTGCTGTTGAGAAGCAGCAATTTTTCGGTGTTGATATTGTCTGTAAATACCTATGTTACAGCCACAAACGACGAATAGAAAAACCAGAGGAAATGCCATCCAAGTGGCGAAGGCATGTTTACTCGATACCAAATACCACAGGGGTGTTAGAACCACAGCAAGACAGACAGCCAGTGTCCAGGCCGTAAATAAAACTATGCGGTAAGCTTTTTTCGACAATGTTCTGTGTTTAAGTGGCTTGTAGATGGCGAAAAATCTTTCACAGGAAATGAATACTGCAGAAATTAACGAGGCCAGAGCGAAAATTGCATCGAGGAGGTTAAAAAAGATTAACAAAGATGTATTGACCTCGATTTGCCATAGCTGATAAGCAGGTCCGACCAATAGAATAACAAGCAATGGCAATGATACAGCTCCTAGAAGCATATCGGCGATTGCCATGTTTATCACAAGGAAGAAACTCTTTTTTCGAGGCTTCTTATTTAATGTGAATTGAAAGATTGTCAGTAAGTTTCCAGCGACGATTCCGATGGCCTCCAGCAGCAAAATGGTGCACAACACTATTCCTTCTGCTCTGGAAATATGGTTTTGCGAAGGTGACGAAGAATTGTTCATCGACTCGGTGGTATAAGATGTGTTGTTTTTCATCTTGGCGTTTCCTTGTATAACGGCCAAACCCTTGAAATTCGGTTTGCGTGTCGAAACATCAAGAGTACAACAGCAAGTTTACGCAGCATTAATTCATTTAAACTAAGTAACTTAGTTTTACATAACAGAGGCCCCTTTCTAATGGGCTTAAGTTATCTTAAATTGCATAATTTCTTCTAAATTTGAACTTAGAAATACCAGGAATAACAGCAGCTGAAATAAAAAGCTCAAGACCAGTTAATTATATGAAATATTTAATTTTGTTGTTTTAATTACTGAATAGTAAGTTGAAACTTCTGAGAGGTGTCAGTGTAGTAGATGAAAGCAACCGATTTTTATCCAAACCAAAGTTCAAAACCAGCGGAGCTTGCTATCGGCATTTTTGATTGGGCTCTAGATTGGAGATAAAAGCTTAGTCATCAATTGTATTCAGTGAAAACAAACTAATTGGTGTATGCAAATGCAAATAACAAATTTATTGGTGTAGTTTCTGTACAAATATACTGCACGCGCCTCGCGCAAAAAGGAGGCGCGCGCGGGGAGAGAGAGAGAGCTCCCTCACCCCTCGCCTGTCTCCCTCGCGCACGCCCGTTCTCTCTTTCACCCACTACTTCCATGCGCCTTCTACGCAGGCTAAGAACAACTTAGATGAACTGACATAAGTAATGACATTTAAAGTGATATCCTCTAGAGAAGGATTACTTTAGACTAAGTTTTGTCATGTGATCAGGTCTTCTAATTTTAACCGAAGCTTTAAGTGAGGTAAAAAAGTATTATCTTTTTCAAAGAATGAAGGTGTTAAACGGTAGCGGTTGAAGTGATATGAGGTGGCGAAAAACTCCACTGATTAAAAATGCTAATACCCAATGCAATAAATTTCGGTGGCTGAAGAATTAGCCGGGGTACGTGGAGCCAATCAGAAGGTGTGAAAAGTTTTGAATGAGTAACAAATAGAGAATATTACATGGTTCGCAGACGTCAATTATATTTCTCATACAACTTCTCAACGATCGCTTGTAACGCGACATAGGAACGAGGTTGGATGCCGATTCTTTAGCGTCCACCCGCGTAACGTGAGCTTGGGACACCTGTGCTCAGTCAACCAAATTTATAGCCTTGTTTAGCTCTTGTTCAACTCTGCAGTGCATTCTTGTTAATCAAGCCTCTCTTCTTGCAATTGTTTCTTTAGTCTGGTAGCTAATGGGTAGAATCTGAGTAGAATTTACTATATCGACCCCCCACAGGCAGCGAATTATTTTAAACAAAATTTAAAAGGTCATAATAATGATCCATAAAGGAAATGCAGGGACATTAATGTCTTATTAGTTTTTACATGATATCTGACATGTCACGACTAAAGTTAACGTCAAATGTTTGGCCAAAGTAACTCAAAATTTGAATTTTAGTCCATACATAAAGGCGCGTTTCTTTTTTATCAAGGCTAAGCTCAAGGACACCACTCGTGTTTCAAACTTGATAAAGCACTCTTGCTCTGACTGAGCAACATATATTGATCGGAAATCCATTAAAAATATTTGTCAAATATTTGCCCTCTACTGGCATTTCATTTATAGATCTTTTGTTTAGCATATACACTAAAGTTCACAGTGTTTGTTTTACACGAGGTCACTAATTAACTTTTCCGAGGTAATAGAAACAAGTCTACACCCTGTTTAAATTTGAATGTAAAAAATCTTGACTACCTATATCACTAATTCTTGAGCTTCAGTGACATGGCCGGAGTTTTTCTTAAATAGTCGGTGAAAGTCATTCTAGTCTCCATAAAATCTTAAAATGCATCCCTATTTGGAATTTTTTTATAACGAAATTGTCCATTTTTGAAGTAAGAATTTTATTGCAGTTTATACCGAAAAAATGTATTCAAAGTAATAAACTGTTCCAATAAAAACTAACACTTAGTTTTGTTTTTACTCTGAATCTTTCTTTATTAATAAGCTCGTCAGTATGTGCACGCATTTGCTTAACAGTTGTTGCCCTGACCACCTTAAGACCCGCTAATAATCAGATTCAAATTCAGATATTTTAGACATTTCAGTAGTTGGTGAGATATAAACTCTTTCTCGTACGTAATATCCGCATAATGGAGTGTGGATTTACAGCACATATTCAATCTACTTTGGCTGAAAATTAGGAGTGAGCTGTCGGTGAAAATTATGACGGCTTTTCAAGAACACTACTACCTCTACTGTAAATTAATCTTCCTTTTTGTCAACAACATATTTCTAATGATTTTCTTGGCAAAACAAACATCTTTTATTCTTAAATACTAATTAAAACCGGGGCATATGTATATTTAGGTCGCTCCTTCTTCGGCTTCGCCTATTTCCTCCATCGGGGTGCTAAGTGTCATACTCAAAAGGAATTTCTTAAAGCCAAAAATGAAGAACATTTCAACTACATCTGGCGTGAACAATTCGGCCTCTTCGAATACGCTTAACGTTCCTTTCCAGATCCAAGATATTGCAGCCTGCAGCCTCGTTGTGTTTAAAGCCGTCTCAATTGTCGCTGGAAACTCTCTCCTGATTATTCTCTTTGGATTGAAGAAGAAGCTTCGCAAGAAAAGTTTGTTTCTTATTGTAAATATGGCGATCGCGGATGTGTTGTTAGGGGCTGTGACTCTTCCTTTGAAGATCTACTTACGGATCTCACGGACGTCAAATATTTTTGCCTTCGTGTCTTATTATCTTTTCTCGCTGGCCTCGTTAATTTCTGCAGTTTTTGTATCCTGTGAGAGGTTTTATGCCATTTGCAGGCCGCTGAAGCACCGAACCCTGTCATCCACGACATACCGCACTGCTATTGTCGTTGTATGGGTACTGGCTGTTCTGTCTTCCACCGCACTAACTTTGCTAGCGAAGTTAATTTCACTCAAAACGGCTCAAACTGCTGCATGTTCATTTCCAGTGATCTCTCTGTTTGTAGTTTGTGCCTGTAACATAAATATTTTTAGAAAGGGCCAACGTTGGGATACCTCATATGAACAGCACAACAGGTTCTCGCAAAAACAGCGCCTGACAAAAACTCTGCAGATTGTCTCCACCGTTGCTATTCTGACCTGGATTCCTTTGGTCGTTTTTAGATTGGTTACCGTCCTGAAAGGCACTATACAAAGGGAATTTTTGTTTTATGACATCGTATTAATTTTAAATGTTTCCAGCTCCGCTTTGAATCCATTCATCTACGCATTTAGAATTCCCGAGTTTAGGAAATCGCTGAGGTTGTGCTGCCTTAAGTCTCGGGCTGGGATGAAAAGAGGGGGCAGAGAAGGAAAAGATATCATGGCCACCTCTGTGACGCGAGTGCAGAAAACATTATCAACTATTGACTGTTACTCACAAGGGGGATATACACTAAATGTTATGGATACAAAATTGTAAACAACTCTGCTTTGCTAAATTGTTGGATCAATTTACCTTTAATTTCTGGGACCTGCCCACCAACCCCTCCCCTAACCCAACACTTTGCCCCAAGTGTGAAGTAAGTGTTGACGTTGAGTTAGGGGAGGGGTAGGTGGGCAGTTTTGCAAAGACGTTGAAAAACGCACAAACCTTTGTACAATCCACTAAACTGCTGGGCAACGGATAAACTAACTCACTATTTATTAAAATAGTGTTAAAATATATGTACATGGCATCATACTCGTGCATAATTTTCCAAAATCTTTTATCGGTCATCATTTAAAAGTATTAAATCCTGAAATTAGTTAAGGCGTGGGGGAGCTGCAACTCTCCGTTCTTGATACTAGAGAGCTTAAGCAACGACGACGGCGACGGCAACGAGAACGGCAAAAAAGCCAATAGGTTTAGATTGGCAAAACAACAACTTTGCACGTGGATCACGCTTTTGGTACATTCCTTTTCCGTCGTGCACGACTACGACGTGAAACTGCCTAATTTCACGTCTTGTAGAGTACGTGAGTACAAGACAACGACCCTTTCTTTCTTCCCTGATAGAGAACTTTGAAACAGTCCTTTAGAATTCAACTCCACAAATATTATGTGCTAACAGGCTAAATAGCCCCTCCATCATTACCGCCATGATGTCCCTTCGAAAAACCTTGAGCATTTTTCATACTTGAGACTTGAAAAAATGTTTTGATAAATTAAACATCGCTGCTTTTGGTTATCCTTTGGATTATCCTAATAGTTCGTTCTCGTACGACGTCACGGTATCCATATTTGCGTACAAAACAATTAGATGGCAACCATGTTGGTGTACCAGTTTAGTACTGTGAAGATTCGACTCTTTCCTCATATAACTGACTTTCTTTTGTTTCAGTACATTTGCAGAGCTACTTATGACGTGTCTGAGTTAAAACGATCTATGTATTAGGACAGTGGTGACAGCTTTTTAACCAATGGGAATCCGCGTTGCGACTCGAGCGTCATGTTTCAAAACAAATATTTTTCAAGATGGCGGACGAAAAGGGACTCTCATTATGCCCGAGCCATTATGCCCTTCTTTCGATCTTTTTATGATTCTAATCTAGCGAAAAGGAACATCACTTTTGAAATTGTTAATTTTAATGCTGAGTTAAAAGAACAATTAAGAAGCTGACTCAGGCTGGTTAAAGTAAAAAAAGCCACGACTTTATGCTCAAAAAACGCTTGAGTTCGCAACTTCGTTCCAACCATACTCTCTTCTCCTACCCATCTTATCTACCTTAAGTGCGGTCCTTAAACAAACTTTTCTTTTCTTTCCCAGAGCTTTCTAGTTTACGTACGCATTTCAAGTACCGTGGTAGGGGAGAGCAAAAAAAGAAACGTGCTGGGAGCTAACCTGCTGGGAAAAACTTGATTGAAACTGTGAAAGCCTTGGAGACCTATTTTTCCTGTCGCCATGTATTTGTTTGTGGAATACACACAAAATTTTATTGGAACTGTGAAAGCTGTGAAGACTGATTCTTCTTGTCGGCATGTATTTTGGAATTCCTGCGGTAATCACGAAATGATATTCAGCTAAAGTTTGATGACGTTTGGCGTCCCCTCTAAACTTAGCAACATGTCTGTTCAATGTTGTGCTTACAACACTCGGACTTGTTCAAAAAATCCCTCTCAAAAAAGAAAAACGATTAATATTTCTTACCGTACAAACTCACTATGGTATATGGTTAATGCATAATCTTTTGGGGAAAAACTCCGGGGAGTAATGAAATTTATTCCTTTAATTTAGATGCAGTGAAAAGTAACTATCATATCACGCAAGAAGAACATACGCACACAAAGGACTTGAGTGTATAAAAACTGTTTTTACTAACAAACGTTATGTGATAGAAATAAACATTTTTCATGTAGGTACATTCTATGAAAGTTACTTTTTTTATGATAATATGTGCAGGAGTAAAGATATTAAAAAGAACATGTGAGCTACCTTAAAATTCACGGGGAAAAACACTGCAGATAACTTGATTAATTAAAGGCGTACAATTATTTTCAGAAAAATAATGTGGCTAAATCTTTCATTTTAATTTGGCACAAAATTGTTAAATTGCTTACTAGAAATTGCACTTAATTGTTGGCACGTTGTCCTTGTATTTTTAGGGTAGATTCACTATTCTTTTATAAGTTTGTTGATTATTTTACAAAATTCAAGTTTGTATGCCAAAAGTTCAACGTCACTATAAATAATATATAATCATGATTATGAATACTTGTTATCTGAGTCATCAATTAAACACGACTCACTGAGAAGATTAGATTGCTGCCTTCGCGCTTGTCCTTCTGCAAAAAGATTTCACAAGAAAGTCATTTGTTCCATTGAGGTGCCTAAAGAACTTCTTGCAAGTTTATCATGACAGTCACCAATAATACGTCTTCATTATCTGCAGGGAACATCCCTTCCAGGACAGAGGGAATTCTACTATTAAGCACTTTCGTTTTGGAAGCTGTGTTAATTGTCGTAGGAAACTCACTCACGATTGTTTTCTTCGCATTTGACAGGAAAATTCGCAAGAAAAGCTTGTTTCTTGTTATAAACATGGCCTTTGCTGATGTCGTATTAGGAGCACTTTGCCTTCCTTTATACCTCTATGTATGGGTTGGACCCTCATATCAGCTTTGGGATATTGCATATGAAATACAAGCACCTTTACTCACCTTTTGGGATGTCAGTGATACCATTTTTTCACAGGCTTCATTAATTTCTGCAGTTTTCATATCATGTGAGCGATTTTTCGCCGTCTACTGGCCATTAAGACAACGAACACTTTCGATGCGGGCATATCGCATTGTCATCGCTATGGTCTGGTCTTTAGCTGTTCTTGTCTACATAGTTCACTACCTTGTTAGCCACCTCAAAAACATCAGAGCAGCTGTTTTTTCCTGGATGGTATTTCCTTTGATTTTCCTCTTCATTGTTTGCGGCTGCAACTTTAGCATTTGGAGAAAGTTCAAGCAAAGAAACATCGCTTCACATCAGCTAAGCAGAGCCTCGCAAAACAAACGCTTAACAAATACCTTACTCTTTGTATCTGCCATTGCAGTGTTGTCCTGGCTCCCTTTGGTCATCGCCAACTATTTAATTTTTGTCCATGAAGCTGATATCCCTCGGAACGTTTTGTTTTATTATATTATTAACGTTATTAATTTTATAAACTCTATCTTAAATCCAGTCGTCTACGTATTACGGATCCCTGTGTTTAGGCAATGGCTGAGTTTGCGCTTTTTAAGACGCCATACTGTCATAAACGACGGAGTTGAAGAAAGAGATGACAGACCGCGTGCCGCCACGTTGACGTCGATAGTTGAACTACGAAAACTAACAAAAGACCGCGGTCGTAAGGAGGAATGGTCCGAACAGGAAATTTTGAGCACCAACTTGTGATAAACCTAGGCGGTTTGGATTAGCCGGGGGGGGTGGGGGAGGGGTGTGCTGGGGGATAGTCAGCCCTCCACTTTTCCCTCCCTTCACACTTAAGCAAAAACACTCTTTTTCGGCAACTCTGTGTGTAAATGCTAACAGGCCGCGCCCGGTGCACCCAGGTGAAGGTAGAAAGGAAAAAGAAGAAAACAAAAAAGGGGCGGGGTGGGGAGGGAGGAAGGGAAGAAAGGTTATTGTGGGGCACAAATTTGGGAGAGGGGGGGGGGGGGGGGGGGGGGGGGGGGGGGGGGGGGGGGTGTGCTGGGGGATAGTCAGCCCTCCACTTTCCCCTCCCTTCACACTTAAGCAAAAACACTCTTTTTCGGCAACTCTGTGTGTAAATGCTTCAAGTGTTCTTTAATCAGAATGGTATAATATGTATATAAAGCTCATGTAACATAAGCCACGGTCCCCCTTTTCAGTATTTATTTATTTACTTATTTTTTTGACCAGTCCCTTATCAGCTTCATGCGCGCATTGCCAGACTCTGCCAAAACAACAATGCAATGGCTATGGAAAAATACCACGTGCTATTTTTGCGAAAATTCTGCAAAGAAATCGAAGCACATTTGTGAAATATAAACTCATCAAAAGTTGAGAATATTTTTATGAAAAATATTGTTATTGCTAATAAACGTTTTGCATCACCAGCTGGCCTTTTGAGTTGTGGATAAAACAAATGACCATCTTGACAGCTAACGTAAGGTTTTATCTCTTTTTCAAGAGATAAGTTTCGTATCCGATCCTTAACTCCACTTCACTACAAAAACAACATCGTTAGATGATTTCAATATATTCAGAGAATTTCGAGGAAAAACAAACTCTGTACTTGTTTGTCCGAAATAAGAAAGATGACAACAACAACAAGCTATTAAATTCTTAGCTTTACCCCAGTTTAAAGTAAACAGATTGTTAAATCGTGTCATTATATGTTTTACACAAAGGAGCCGTGATTTTAATTTCTGACTAAAACCAGTGCTCACTACAGAGCTTTTTAAAGGGTTTTTACCCTTCTCAGACCTAAAGTTTCCAAAATGAGTCATTCTCGGCTTCCGCTTGTTGCAACTGTTTAAAAAAGGGATTTAGTTTGTCAAGTTTTGACACTATGGGTACATGCAGAAGGAATTATCGCAAATATACACTTTCAAGTTGATATTTTTTGTTTGCGCATGCTGATACCAGTTATTTAAAGTAGCCTGCGGGCTTTGGGTGTATAGCACGCCTTCCAAACAATTGTAAGGACATATTATTGGACATATTGACTACGTTCAGTGTACGTTATTTGAATAGGGAAGGACAGAATAACTCATTGCACTTTGTTTGTTTTCCGCGGTTGCATCGGTGTCAAGTCAGTTGCACAACTTCAAGCCAACTTTTATCTACCCCAATTGCAAGACAAGAAGCTTTTTATTGCTTACCATTGTATCGAGACTCGAATGGAAAATATATCTACTTCTACAAGTCCAAACAATTCAGTGCCATCTTTATCTTCGATGGATGTTCCACTCCGAGCAGATGGAATAGCACTGTGCAGCGCTTTCGTGTTTGAAGCTGTATTAATTGTGGCGGGAAACTTGCTCACAATCGCTTTTTTCGCAATGAAAAAGAAGCTTCGCAAGAAAAGTTTGCTTTTAGTTATAAACATGGCGTTTGCTGATGTCATGTTAGGAGCGGTGTCTTTACCCTTGTATATCTACTTATGGGTAGGACCGCACTTTAATCTTTGGCCTTTTAAAGCATCTTTGGAAATTTTATTCTTTATCTGTTATACCATTTTCTCGCAAGCCTCGTTAATTTCTGCAGTTTTTATATCCTGTGAAAGATTTTTCGCAATCTTTTGGGCACTGAAGCACAAAACTCTATCAATGAGAGCACACCGTTTTGCAGTATTTATGGTGTGAACTCTCGCTATCTTTGTTTCCACGATGACGATCGTGCCGATTTACCTACTCTCAAAAAAACACGCATGGTATATTTGGGTGGCGTTTCCATTGACTTATCTAGTCATAGTTTGTTGCTGTAACATTGGCATTTGGAGGAAGTGTCAAAAGCAACGCTTCGCTCAAATCAGTGCCACAAAAAACAAACGTTTAACGAAAACGTTGCTGTTAGTTTCTTTCATTGCCGTTGTGACCTGGTTCCCTTTAGTGATAAACAACTATCTAATATTTTTTCAGAAATTGAATTTTCGTCGAAGTTATCTTGTTAATGGCGTCGTAGATATTCTTAATTATTCTAACTCTTTTTTGAACCCAGTCGTTTATGCATTGAGAATCTCTGAGTTCAGACAGTCACTGCTCTCGTGTTGTTCGCTACGTCAAGCTGTAACTAAGAGAGAGGCTAGTGAATTAGAACTCAGAGGAAGAGTCAACATGGCTGCCGTTTTATCACCGGTGATATAGTTAAGAGCATTACTAACTCATCTCAGTTACCCACAGCACGCATTGGACCAGAACTCTATGAACACGTGCAGGAGGTCGTGATCAACCATGAACAGTCGCCATGAAAAGACTAATAAAATAATTTTTACCATGAAAATACCACTGTTAGTAGAAGCAAAAAAAATATAATTACTTTGCTTCCGGAATCTTTGACTTTGGAATCTAAAATCTAGCTCAGGGAATGACTGGAATATCCGGAGTACCATTGACAAGGAATCCTGAATCCAGTACCTAGAATCCAGAATCCATATCTTAGAGTCCAGGATCCAAGACTGCCTTGGATTCCCTTACACTGGGGCGTATGTTTTCTCTGAACCATCGGATGTACAAGGAGTGCGGAAGCAAGGGGAGAAACCTCCGTCATTTCCCTGGGGTTTTATTCAGATTCAATCCTCAGTCGAGACACATTTTGGAATATTTGATAACAATCGGTTAATGTTAGGGTTATGGATCGTTACGAGATATGATGTCATAACTGAGTTACGTGGGGCAAGCGAGTTTTCACTCTCTTGCAGCTAGATAGTAAAAAAAAAACTGTACAATATTAACAGGAATAAATGTCCCAGGATACCGGTGTTTAGACAAAAGGCAATGGCTAAATTTGCGTTTTTTAAGACGCCATATTGTCATGAACGACGGAGTTGAAGAAAGAGATGACGGAGGTGCGGCCACTTTGTCGTCGATAGTTGAACTATGAAAACTAATAAAAGACCGCGGTCGTAGGAAGCAATGGCCTGAACAGGAAATTGTGAGCACCCACTTCTGATCAACTTGGTCGGATTTAATTCAGTGAGATGGGTTGGGGCGGGAGGCGTTGAGGTTTCTTCCTCTATTCCTCGATCCCCTCTCCCACACACACACAGACACAACCACGTTTTTGGCTGTTGATTTAGTTTAAAAAAATGCTTGTAAAGTGACTACTCTATGGCCTTAATTTTGCGTATAAATGCTTTCCGAGTTCCATAATCAATAACTCTTATCCTGCCATATTCCATAAGCATGTACACTACTAATTATAAAAGCCTCGAGCACTCCCCTCCCCCTCCCCCTACACACAATTTTCTGGATGTACACCTTGATCAGCCACGCCCAGGCACAATGGCCGGGCGTATTTCAACTGTGTTAAGCGAAGCGCATTTGGTAAAAAGAACACTCGTCGAAAATCTTTTATTTGAAGAAACGCACGGAATAAGTTATTGCCAACTTATTTAATTATCACAATATAATTTTTTCCTGTTTTTATGCTTTAACTGAATAGATAACTAAATTTGGCCTTGAAGTTTGTTTTCTCTGTACCGATCCATGTGACAAAGGGGAAGTCGAAGTATTTCTTCGATTTCTGCTGAGTTAGTATTTTTCCAGTTGGTGGTTTTAAAGCTAACGCCTGCGTTATCAAACCTTAAATTAACTTAAAGTTTGTTTTTGCAAGCAAACAGCGAACGCTAATAAAAGCGTTTGACACGTTTTCTTTTACAAATGCTGTTGTTTGTCTGATCAGAATAAAAAAAGCCAGTTCGATTTAATGCCGCCATAAATGATAGAATCTGTCATCATATTGACACAAGTAACAGGACAAAAAATATGAAGATCATGCAGATTGAAAGCGGACATTAAAAAAGTAAGGAAATAGACCTTGTTTAAATGCAAATGAATTTCTTGACAAAATTATGAAAAATTAGATGCTTTCGACTAAACCTATGAGAGAATTTTTTTTTTGCGAAATTTTTTTTTCGAAAAAGCAAAACGAAAACAAAACAAGTTCTACAATTATTTTAAAGTTTGACACCATTTAAGCGAAATTTGAAGTAAGGATCTGTATACTTACTCAAAGGAGCGGTGCCTTGTAATATTATGCTACTAAATTAAAGCGGGTGGCATTTTAGAGCTAGTGACAGACTTGAAGAAAATTTGCCAAGCAAATAGATACCTGTAAATGTAATGTAAATTGCATCCATTACATTTACTGTTAGGGTTACGGATCGTTACGAGATATGATGTCATAAGTTATATAGGGCAAGCGAGTTTTCACTCTCTTGCAGCGAGACAGTAAAGAAAAAAAATTTTACAATATTTACATGAATAAATGTCCCAAACAGTGTTCGGCCTTTGAAGCCCCAAAAACAATACCAGGTGTCATGGCCGTCATATTTGCTTCATAATACTTTCTTATTGGGTGGAAGCTTGTCAATTAAGAAGTTAAACTTCGGTCATCCAAACCACGTGAAAGTCATTCACTCACGAACGGAATTTCCGTACCCAAGGGGTCAGATCGCTTTGCACAATTACCAATTGTGTCAAAAAAGGTGAGTTTTATACAATTTTTTTTTGCGTTACAGAAATATCATGATAGTTCTCTGACAAGACCAAAACTGGGTTGAGTGTCTAGTCTACGGAGTTACAGAAAAGTGCAAACTTAAAGATGTTATCCACACAATAGCAGGAAATTAATGTGAGGGCTTAGAAAGTTGTAATCCCTGTTTGGTCACCTTCGAAGTATTGAGCGTTAAAATTCAATCATTTTTCTTCATATGTTTTTTTTTCTTTGTGGGGTAATTACAGGAAATACAAATAATGTGTGATGCATCTTTCTATTTCACCAGGATCTCACACTTTTCCCCCTGAAAAAAAAAAAAAATTCCCGGAGCCGAACACTAGCCAACCTTTTATTTACCCTTCATGACCCTAGGGCATTATGTTGGCTATGTTTTAATTTAAGATGTGTTTATGAAATTGGTGGAAACTGAAAATGACGAATAGACTAAATATCAAAGATTTTAAAAGCGTTTCTCGGGTTTTTGTCTTAGTTTGCTTCGTCACTTTAATTTCCCGAGGGGACGGGGGGAGAGATGGGGAATAGGACTTGTTGATCGGCATGAGTTTCACATGATCAAGCCGCATTCGATGACCTCAGCTGAGGATACCCTACTTTAATAGGGTGACAACACGGACGCGTCAGATCCAAATAGAAACTACCAGGTAATCACCAGTAATTAGACGAAGTTAAAAAATCGTAGAAATTTACACGCGCTTTAATGTTTTTTGCATTTACTTCGCAGCTTTATAAGCATTTAATCAAGACTGCAAAATTACAAGTATACGTACACTTCAGAAGAAATCATGATCACGTTTCTCTTACGTTGGTTATTGCTTATGTGTACAGTAATAATCCACTTATCGAGTCCTGTACACGTATCCCCGGCAACACACTATCCACAGGGCTGGCGAGATGCCCCGGGCTCGTTAAATGAGTTTCCAGTTGGAGTTATAAAGGGCAAAACGCAGACAATCATCGATCCTTGGAATTATCTACAGAGAATGGGAGTTTTTAAGCTTATGGTCAAACACACGGAGCCTTTCTTTAATTCCTGGGGGTATAATAACACTGGTAATCTCCTCTGGGGATTGCCGCTTCAGTTCGGATGGCAAAAGATATCCGGTCGCCTTCGTGACATGAGGAGCAACCATGGTAATGTTGGATGTGGAGACTATTACGTATCTCCCAACAGCTGGTGGGCCGATATGAACTACTACCTCTCTGTGCTTCCTTTCTTGGGAGCCTTGAATTCTGGGATATTCTCACCGCTTAAGTATCCTTTGTATATCACCAAACCAGCGAACGTGAGCGAGAAAGTCAAACAAAAGTTCTGTACCAGTGTTGAAGAGTGCAAGGTAAAACATGCTGAGGTGATACAGGACTGGACAGAGTTTTTCCGGCGAGTTAAGGCTGCTTCTCCTGCATCCGATCACGATGCCACAGTAGCACTGATGTGGAAGGCGCACACTACATCTATTAAACATGGTGAGTCAATCAACAGTCCTAAATCCATCCACCCCAAAAAGGTCTCTTGTCTTACTGGAACAGGATAGCGAAATAAAAAAAACAATCAGATTTTGTCTAGCCTAACGGGCGTTAAAGCGTGGGTGGGGGGAAGGGGAAGAAAGACTAAGAAAAAGAAGAAAAAAAAGGGAGAAGGCATTGGGGCGAGAAAGATGGAAGGAACGCATGCGTTTCCTTTCTTTTCTTTCTTACCCTCCCCTTCCCCTCTCCCCTTTAAGCAGGCTGGTTTTTTTTCCTTGAGTGCCCCTCCCCCAAGGGAACACCTAAGAAGCCAATAGGAATAGATTCAGCTAGGGACGTTGTACCTTGGCTTTTGTGAGATCTACGTTACGAGAGACTGCACCGAGGTACACAGGGAACCCATCAGCTGGAGCGTCTGAAGACAAAATTGTCAAGCTATTTATAAAATGATATTCCTCCCCAGAAAACTCGCAGCGAATCAAAGCAGTGTAAAATCTACCCCAAAAGACGGCTATTTTCACAGTGACGTGTTCTTTAACTACAGCTGAATTTGCCAATCCCACTGAGATGTATAAACAGTAGCCTTAATTTGCACATGAAAACTGCAAACTGAACGATTCTGGTATTTGTAGTCTTGACAGTTATTCATAACTTATCGAAGTTCTGATGTGATAGTAGCTCCTCACGAATTTTGAATGTTTTGTCACTCCCTAGGGCTTCCCCTATTCACTGAAGAAGCCAGTCTACTATCAGAACCAGAGAAGAACTTTGGGGTAGGATGGGCACTATCGGTAGAGTTCATTGCAGCTACCCATTTTCAAACCAATCTCAACGATACGTGTCAACAGCAGTCATCGTTGCCATCAAGAATCTTGAAGAATGGTGACATAACTCCCTTCATCAAGGACCTCACCGGTGCTCAAAATCGTGTAATTTTGGCGATAAACTTGTTTCGGATCGTAAACACTGAAACCGAGGGATTGCTGCTAAAAGTCTGGCGCAGAGCAATGTGTTCACCACAGGGTCGCTCTATTGGTTTAAAGCTGTTAGAGGACGTGGCAAATAAACCTTGGATCATCCCTAGGATGTTGATATCACTGCTCAAGGCCCTTTTTAAGTATCCTTGCCAATACAAACTGACGTTACCCAATTGATGTCGCAAAAGAGCAGATTTCACAGTAATCACGAAGAACTTAAACCTTGTTAGAATGGCCTATAACTATAACCATATAGCTATAGCCGGCATTTCAGTATTAGCCACGGAGGTTTGTCCGCAAATCCGCGAAATATCAGGCAGATTTCTTTATGATAAATTCTTACGTTATTAACAAATATTTTTTTCCTTTAATTGTCATCGCTTTGTAGCTGTTGGGACTAATCTGATGCGTATGTATTTTGTTGGGTAAACCACATTCAAATCATCGCACACTTTTTCAATACCGTGCATCCATTAATATACTTCAGTATTTTTTTAAATAAGCTTATATATCCGCCATGTTTAAAAACGCATTCGATTGCCATGAAAAAGTGGATGTGTGCTTTCTTAAGACTCTGTCTTGCTCGTCAATGTTTGGTCTAAAATTGATTTGCCGCGCGCTCAATTTGAAATAACACAACTTAATCGCCCAATTACAGCCGCGCCAGGACTTTTAGTCAGTATCAGTATAATTATTGAAACAGTATCCGGTTGACAAAAATGAGGAACCTGGCATCTTAATTTGTCTCATTGTGTATTCAAAACATAAACGATGCGATTTAGAGCAACACATGCCAACTGAAGATGCCGCATGGTGATTTAGCGGAACAGATTCGATTTGGAGCAAAAAAAAAGTGCGATTCGTGACAAAATCAATCTGGCTGCCAGTGAGAGCCAATCAGGTTAAGAATGAGTTTAAAATAGGCGTGATAGAGAAAACAAGAAGTCATGGCAAAAAACACAGTACTGAGTATTAATCCTACTGTTTGGTTGAATTGTAGTGGTAACTGATGTTGGATAAACGACTGTCACTGAGTGATATATTAAATCTACAATTGCTACACTTTACTTTGCCTGTTTTGAGGTCTTGTCAACTGAAATTAACAGAATTTTAGACAATTATAAGTAAACCCAGTTGAAGACTTGTAAGACTTTAAGACTCTATCTTGAATTATAACACGGTAACCTTCTCTACCTAAATGTCACCATACCAACAAGATGAAAAGCGAAGAATGTGGCACAATGATCATGCTTTTTATACAATACGTTCTGCTTGATAAAACGTGTTTATCTGTTCCTCCATTAAATTCTTCTTCTGCGGTTCTTCTTTCAGGAATGACTTCTAACCATTTTATATACAGTGATATTTTCCCATAGTTTAATTCCCCAAAGTTTCCCCACATTGATGTGATTCAGCATAATTGCCGTGTTGCTTCGTTGCATTGTAGTGCACCTTTAAGTAAACATGATGCGTACAATCGCTTTATAAAGAGGCTAACCAGGAGAAAAAAAAACCCTTAATCCTACGAACTAGTCACCCGTTTAGAATGATAGCAGAGGGTTTCAACTCAGTAGTATAAATGGCCATTACTGTCCCGCTCGACAGGCTGATAGGTAGGTCTTGATTTCTCATCATCAATCCTCGTCTTGCCGTTAACGTAGTGCTTTATTGCCATAACATTTGCAGCCGCAAAGATCAGCACGCCAATGACGATAAGACTGATTTCAAGCACAGCCATCCTCGCTGAGACAGTGCGAAAGTCCGAGCCCTGGTGGTTGCAGGGTCTTTCAGACACTTACAAGCAATAATAATGACTAATAATGATAAATTGTGATAAAAAGGAGGGGGTGGGGTGGTTGCAGCTCCAATTCCCCCCCCCCCCTCCCTTGAGGGGTTTGCAGTGCAACAGCCATACAGTTATTGATTAAATTTAAAACTAATGGAGGTTCTCATAAGTACTGAAGTTATGACTCGTGCATCATTCTGAGCGGTGAAATCGGGGCACATTGTAAATACTGAGCTCATCTGAAAAAATAAATGAGGACAAAAAGGCAACCCATGTCTTTCATAGATGGCTTAGTATAAACGATCGCAAACTGTGTAAATACGCTAGCTTATGTGGACAGGAATTTTTGATGCGTTTTAAGTGTTAACAGGAAAACGGAATGGCGTGGATCAGGAAAGTTTACTGTCTCATGGTCATTAAATAACTTAATTACGTATACATTTTCTTTTGTTTGTTTGTTTGTATTAGAAGACCCACAACCCTATATTTGTTTTTTGTTTGTTGATTTGCTTGTTTGTTTTTGTTCACACAGCGGAAATGTACCTTGCTGATAAAACGGCAGAGATTTCTATAATTTCAGGAATTGAATACTTCCACGAGTTTAACTCATGCCCAGGGCATTTTCGAAAGCCTGGTTACTTAATTGCACTAGGAAGCATTTTTTTTTTCTTTCAAAATCATATGCAAGAATTCGTAAGAAAAATAGAAACACTAACTAAAGTGCGTCATATTTAGGAGATTAATAACTCCAGCACAGTATAATCACTAATGTTTTTACCATGGTTTTGGGTGACGCCGAGAAGATTGAATTTCACTGCTCTGAAACTTGTCGATTACTTTGTACCAATTTTATTAGCTGTCGTATTGCAGGTTTGAACGTGACGTCATGGTTGCTATGTTGGTGGTCAAGAACAAAAGGATTTCTCTCCTCTGGGAACTAAACTCTATTTTCGTTATTTTCATGTAAATTCTTCGAGAAAAAATACTTTTGTTTTGACCCCAAAGCTCCCTGGCCGCCTTGTCTTTGTGGTTGCGAACTAAGAATTGATTTATACTGTAGTACGCCTTATATAATGTTAAAGTTTTCATATCTTCTGTTTACTTCAGTTGGAACGTGATCATGACTTAAAAAGATGACCCTCTATACCTTCTTAGATTAAAGTCTATTGTAATTATGTGCTCATTTAAAAACTCAAATCTTGTATGCTTGGTGAAATTAAATCATGAGCCGATGTTCCTGAACTTTCCTGTTAAAAGAGTACCACAAGTATATACCTATTAAACGCAGAACTGTTTTCTCCCAGTTAAAAAAAATGGAAGACCAAACTGTGTTTTCCTTGGTTCAGAAACGATGCTTGTAGTCGGCTAATGGTTCATTTATTTTGCCAATCAACCATGTCGAGTCAGCGATGAAATGTTTTACCGCGGCTGTTCATAATCCATCAGCGAAACAAGTGGCGAATATCAATATTTTGGGAATAGTTGTCACCTTGAAGAGGTACAGAAGACGGAACGTAGCCTTGAGGGCGAGAAGAAGTTTTAAGCTGTTGCTTTTTTGGAATAGTGCAGAAGCTTGCAGAGAACATTTACTTCATATGAATGGACAGCTTTCAATGCTTGCATGGCTGATCATCGCTTTTGTTACTGTGGCTGGCACTGGAACTCTAGCTTACTTTTACTACAAATTGCTTAATTATTTCATCAGAATGAAGATTGAAGCCGAACCTGATCCTGAGCCACTAGAGAGAGAAACAAAATTAAAAAGAACGTTTCGGGTCCAAGAAGGACAAGATTCTGACGAAGAAAGAATTAACATATTCAGAGAAATTAATAACAGTGACATGACAATCGAACGAACTTGAAAAAATCTTCAGTTACTTAATTCTTAGTTGGCTAGTTAGTTGGATTGGTTAAAGTATCAAAAACGTATAAGTTTTTTTTTGTCGTAGTCCGACGCTTTTGGGCTAATGTAAGTAATATGCAATTAAAAGGAACAGACATTGTTTTGTGCATATAAGCTCCTTTATTTTGGTAATGAATAAATTTGACAACTGAACTATACTTATTTGCTCTAGTAATTCAGCAGATAATTGCTATTAAGTTAATCTCCTCCGTAAATTTTGCTATGTGTTTATTCTTCAGAAAAATGGCCATCTTGCTTAGATCTCACTACACAGATACTGGTCATCGCACAAATGCTAACAACACTCGTTAACGCTTGTATGCCTTGGAAGTCCGTCAAAACAAAGTATCAGTTTGTTCTATTTCGTTCCATATGTCAGTTACTAATAGTTTCCGCTCAAACTATCCTCGTTGTTCCTTGTTATATTCTCCAATCACAGTAAGCTTTGTATATAGGGTGACTACTTCTAAGTATATATGCCAGGGGAAAATCCGTGAGAAGAAACTGGGTACAGGTGTCCGTATTTCGAATCCTTGTCCTTTGTCTTTCTTGACGCTACCGCATACGTTATGGCACCAAACACACACACAGAAAGAACAGTAACTCCGACAAGTAGTCCGATCTTAATAGCAGAGTCCACTAAAAACTGATAACTTTTCAGCGATGACCACAGTCTTGAATGATATGGGTCTGTCATGAGCAGAATAGATAAGAGATTGTAGTATCACGCCCGGGCTTCACGCGAGTGAATGCAAAATTAAGGGGCATGGAGAGAGATATCAGCGGTTTTCGAAGAATATGTTGCAGTTCATTATGCCAAAATTATCGATACTGGCAGACCACTTTTGGAAATTTTACTCTTAAGGAGAAAAACTTTGGAAATTCATTTTTTATTTCTGGAAACTTGGTCCACTTCTCAGGTTTACGTTGTTCTCCTTTCTCGAGTTGGTCCTGTTCGGATGGACTAAATTTAAAGTGAAAACACAAATTTTATTGGCCCGTCCGAGATCCAACCTCTTACCCTTTTATATACCATTTAACAGACCTAACAGAAATGTTACTCCTTTAGCATACCTGATGCCACAGAAAATGCTATGAAGTTAATGAAAGGGAAAATATCACGCATTACCAGGGGAGATAGCCAAAATTGTTATATTCCTAGACTTTCACTCAACTAGACACTGGGATTGCCATTGGCTGATTCTTGGTCACTCCGTATGGCCTTGACTAAAATCAAATGTATCCCGATCGTGATACATTTGAGCACAGGGGCCCCACACAATCTGTGTGTGAAACCGATGTTATTTCATAGTAAATATACTGGATTTACCGTTTACCTCACCCACGGCGATCATGATAAATAAACGTTGAATTATCTTACCTGTGGTATCTGATAGTCGTCCTTTTGCCTTAAAAGCGGTTTTTTGAACGATTTTGAAGGATTTTGAGTTTGCCGTTTACTGTCCCTAATAAGCTGATTTAGCAACAGAAAGGGAACGTCAGTTGTGCGCGCAACTCAAACAACTGGCTTGACCAATGGCAGAGCGGCAAATTGGGCACTGGAAGAGTCGCGTTTAGTCTTTTCCGTGCGCTATCGCGGCTTCCGTTGTCAACTGACGTTCCCGTTCTGTTGCTAAACAGATGGCGGGGTTTGCGATAACAAGCTTTCGGTCGAGGGACTTCCCGCCAAGTTTCTTAAAATCTTTCTATGATATTTCAATAAGCTTATGTATGAATGAATTATTTGTTGCAGCTTGTTGTTAAGATATGAAATGGCGGGGTTTGCGATAACAAGCTTTCGGTCGAGGGACTTCCCGCCAAGTTTCTTAAAATCTTTCTATGATATTTCAATAAGCTTATGTATGAATGAATTATTTGTTGCAGCTTGTTGTTAAGATATGAAGCGTAGAATTTGAGGGAGATTTTGTATACATTAAGCGACATGCATGTACAAAGTTAATTTTGCGTGCTTGTTCTTCGGGTATCTTAATCGAAATAGTCACGCACATGAACATTTTACGTGTACGGGTACACTACCCGTACCCGTACACAGATATCGGGGTATCTTAAGGTCTCTATTATTAACAACTATTTTCTCTTTAATTATCATCGCTTTGCAGCTGCTGGGATTAATCTGATGCCTATATATGTATATTGTTAGGTACACTGACTGCTTGAACCACAGTTTAAAGCATCGCGCACTTTTTCAATACCGTGCAACACTCAATATACTTTAATGTTTTTTAAATCCGCCATTTCTAAAAACGCATGCGCATTCGATTGCCAGGAAAAAGAAGATGTATGCCAGTCTTAAGACTCTGCCCTGCTTGTCATTATGCTTGGTCTAAAATTGATTTGCCGCGCGCTCAATTTGACATAACACAACTTATCACCCAATTACAGACGGGCCAGGATTTTTAGTCAGTATCAATATAATTATTGATTCATTTTCCTGTTAATAAAAATGAGGAACGGGAAAACCATTGTCTTATTGTGTATTCAACAGAAATGATGAAAGCTCTTGTTGCTGACGTTGTCCTTGTTGTCACTGTTGTCCTTGATGTCCCTGTTGTCCCTGTAACCTTGTTTTCTCTGCTGTCCCTGTTGTCCTTGTTGCCCTTTTTGTCACTGTTGTCCTTGATGTCCCTGTTGTCCTTGCCGCCCTTTTTGTCACTGTTGTCCTTGTTGTCCCTGTAACCCTTGTTTTCTCTGCTGTCCCGTTTTTCGCTGTTGTGTCCTTGTTGTCCCTTATGCTGTCCCTGTTGTCCTTGTTGTCCCAGTTGTCAATTTTGTCTTTGTTTGACTGATAAGGCCCTCTTCGATCTGCAGAATTCTTCATATTCCACTCAGCCTCATTCACTAATTGTTAAATACAGCTAAATAAAAAACGGTTGCTTTGGTAATTGGTCATTAGTAATTGGACATTGGGCATTTGGACATATGGAACAATGCAATGATTCACTTGAAGGACCACCACTGACAATAGCTTCCTAATACCCAAAGCAACCTTTATTAAATCAGCTGTATATTTAACGATTATTCTTCGAACCCGAATGGGCTCTGAGTCAATAGCCCATGGGGGGCTATTGACCCAGAGGCCATGAGGGCGAGAGGAATAATTGTTTTAGTAAAATCCAACTAGTTGGTCAAAAATATCGAGACAAAACAACTTTAGCCAGTTAAAGTAAGGCTTTAATCCTTTTTTGCCGCCAAAAATCCGGCGCCTTTCACTACTGGTGGGTTATAACATATAGCCTAGTAGTAGCTCAACCAATCAGAACGCAGCATTGATAATAGACTCCTATTTGGATTTTACTTAATAGATTTAGCCAGGGCTAAGAACGTAGTGTAGTTCATTTAAGCCGGCTTCGCTGTGGCTGCTATTTTTCAAGATGAACTCGAGGGACGAATATCGCTCAAAGCTTTTTTTGTACAACCAATAGTATAACTAAATATTCTTAGGAACGTTTTTTTAGTCGCGGTCAGAAACTTGTCTTATGACAATCAAGTTCTGTACTAGGTCAGATCATTGTCTCAAATCTTACCAATGTGCGTAAAGTGACGGCATAAACAATAGTCGACTTTATGAAACCAGAAAAAAGACATCAAATGCAATATAATTACTCAAGCTTACCGCTTCATAAAGGATCACTAAAAATACTCACTGGGCGTGGTCTAATGTCAGTTTTAATTTTGTACAAAAACACTTTATGCAAGGAAACATTAGGGCAATCAGCACTTTCAAGTGACCAATACCTTAAACAAAGTTCAGTACCAACTTGTAACTAATATATACGTGGAATTGTGTAAAAGCTCTGTGCAATAAAATGTCCTCTACTCTTCTGATCTACGGTATACAGTACTAGCTGCATTTCTATGACTTACAGTTCACAACAAACATCAAATATCTAGTTCATCTTCCTCGACAATGTGTTCTTGTATAGTGCATGCCCGGGGGTACTCCCTTTTATAAGCCATATAGGGTTTTCGGGCCTTTTTCGGTCTGAAAACGCGTATATACTTTGCCATTTTGGTCTGGAATCGGGTATGGTTTTCGTGGGAACTACGGGAGTGTATGAACGTATTGAATGAGTAAGAAAGAAAGAGAAATATGCGAATTAAAAATGGATTTAAAAAAGAGTGAAAAAGAGATGTAAAGAATTAAACATAAGAGGACTCAGAAAAAATCTGAGCACCATGGCCAGATGGGATTCGAACCTTTTTGTTTGCCCTCTAATCTAAGTAATTATGGCGTATTTTCTACCTAAAAGCTAGGTCTGGTCTGGAAACAGGTAAGGAAAATCACATTTTTTGGTTTGAAATAGGGTCAGCTAGGATTTGGAGAACGGGGCGGCACACCCCCACCAAGAATTCCCAGGAATACCCCTCTCCCCCTCCCCACTTGGGAGTAAGTGGTGCGTTAAGTCTGTCCAGGAAAAGGCTGAGATCCTGTACTTCTTCATCACATTGCTGACATACTCAGTAAACGGCCGAGTATATCAGCTTACAGTATAGCCTTGTACATGGTATTTCTTTATAGTGATTTAGTATTGTTACTGCAAAATTTAAAACGGCCAACACTATATCATTGATCACAGCTTGGTGTCCATAGAATTTTGTTCGAATGTCTGCTCTGGCTGACTGGGATAAGTTGGTAATTTTCTTGTCTGTATCACCGGCGACAAAACGGCAGCCACGTTAACGTTGATCTCGCCTCTTCTTTTGCGTTCTAATTCTATGTCCTCTCTGTTCATCACGGCCTCTCGACGTCGTGAACAGCAGGAAAACAGTGACTGCCTCATCTCAGGGATTCGTAGTGCATAAACGACTGGATTTAAAATAGAGTTGGAAAAATTAAAGAGATTTATAATACCGTTAGCCAAATACCATTGTTGGGTGGGCGTAGAATCCTGAACGAAAGCTACGTTAAAAATAATCAAAGGAAGCCATGTTAACACAGCCATAGCAGATACAAACACCAAGGTTTTTGTCAAGCGCTGGTTTTGCAAGGCTCTGTTGTGCTCTTGTGAACGGATATTTATCTTTTGAAACTTTCTCCAAATACCGAAGTTACAGCAACATACAAGGAAAAGAGAAATTATTGGAAATGGAATCCAAATGAAGAAAGCAATTTGTTTTTGTGTTAGGAGATAAAATGGTAACGCGAAGATCACAGAGACAATAACAGCCGAAGTCCACACAATGCAGATAGCAATGTGATACGCACGTTTTGACGAGACTTTGTGCTTCATTGGCCAGAAGATTGCATAAAATCTTTCACAGGAGATAGAGACCGCAGAAAAAAGTGAGGCATGAGCAAGCGTGCTATCAAGGAAACTGCAAAAGAGCAGAAATGAAAAATTTCCCTTATACTCAGTCCACAGTTGAAAATATGGTCCGATCTGTAGGTAAACGTACAAAGGCAGTGATACAGCTCCAAGCATCGTATCAGCGAGCGACATGTTTATAACCAGAAACAAACTTTTCTTGCGAAGCTTCTTCTCTAGTACGAAGAGAAAAATTGCCAGCAAATTAGCCCCAAATATCAAGACTCCTTCAAACACGAGGGCGCTGCTCAATGCTATTCCTTTGGCTTGGTAAGAAACAGGTGTAGCGGAGAAGCCCACGAGAGTCACGGATGACGAAGACTTGTTGAAGGACGACGCTGTAGAAGTGGATACATTCTTCATTTTTATTAGTGAACCGCAGGGTAACGTTAAAAAATTGTGCAACAGGAAGAACAATGAACCTGACCTGGACTGACACAGTTTAATAACGGCTTCGCACCTGCACTTATGGGAGTGCGATTCTTTTTCTAATTATGATGAGCCATTATTTTTTACTTTAACCCTATTCAGACTGGGCTTTTTTGGTCAATCTGTGACTGGGGGGGGGCTCTTCGGACCCCCCCTCTGTATCTCTGGAACCAATAATGCTAGGGTCATGAAATTTACACACAATGATCATCTCCGTACAAAGAAGCCCCACACCCAGTTTTGACTTGCCACGCCCAATGATGACGTCACAGTGACGTCATATTCCGATTTTTCAATGTTTCTTATTATTTTTCCTCTTGGATACGTAAAATATCAATAATATTGGTAAAGTCATCTCTTTGTTATCCTTTCTTATGAACTAGTAACAAGGAAACACTTGTACAGCGAGAAAAAGCAATAGGAAGCAATAAAATTTAAAATTTGAAATGGTTGTCCGCCATCTTGGATCCGCCATCTTGGATCCGCCATCTTGGATTTCCGTTTTTTTGTTAAAATTATAATTTAAAGCAACTTTCATAGGGGAAAAAGCTCAGAATGTATAAAAGAAGTATCAAACTAATGTTTATTACCCAAACAAATGACTTTGGAAGTGTTATTTGGAAAATAGAACAGCATATTGGCAAAGCAAAAAAGGTGACAAATTTTACCCCACCCCTCCCCCCTAAATATTCCATGTTGAAACATTTTGATGTAATTCAAAAACTAGTCCCAAGCAAAGACCATTTTAACAACAAAAAGCACTATAAGTGTAAAAACGCGATCTTAAAACAAAAAAATCACCATTTTTTAAATTTTCCAAAACCTATGTGTCAGAAACTGGTTGCCATGGCAACATGATTAATCACATGGACATGGTATTTATACCAAAATGTTCCTAGATAAATTTTAGGAAAAGTCAGAAAATTTGAACGTCATAGCTCTTTCGGTGTAGGAGTTATCACGATTTTGCCGGAGGGGGGGTTCGAAAAGCCCCCCCCAGTCTGAATAGGGTTAACGCGACTCCTTATTAATTAAACATAAATGGGGTTCCTGCACCACACTGTCCGCTTCGAGAAAGTCAGTTGTTTCTACAATGTGTGTACTGAATAAGAAAAACATTTTAAAAGATCCTTAACCCTCTCAGTCCTAAAAGTGACAAACATCAGTTTTCTCCTAATATCAATACACAATCTAGAGAAAATGTCGTGAGAATTAACGAAATAATCACCCAAGAGAAAATGCTTTGATATTTTACCAAATTCTCTCAACTTATTCTTTATGAAAATGTATAGAGACCAATTGGAGAATTTGTATTGGGATAGTTGTAATACAAAGGCAGCCTTTAAGCGTTCGGTGATCTTAAACACAAAGTACGTCCGTCGAATGGCAGATTAGCATGTTTAATCAAATGGTGACGAGTGAATTAGGGAATAATTTCACGCGCGTTTTCAGTCCAAATCCCAATAATTTCCCTAGCCTTTGACAAAACGCAAGTAAAATTATTCCCTAATTTCACGAGTATACCATCTGATTACCTATTAATATCGTGGGTGACGAATTACCTTAGCAATATTGGATTTCAACATGTTTATCAAAAAATTAATTGCGAAAGTTTGTCGTCTATCTGTAGACATACTTAAATGCAAAATTTGCATTTATATCTACTTTGATAAACGGGAGTAGAAATAAATGCAAATTTTGCATTTAAGTATGTCTACAGATAGACGACAAACTTTTGCAATTAATTATCTCAGTGAAAAGTAAAATTAGTAAAAAAATGTTTCAAGTGATGGCAGGAACCTTGGCTCCTGATGTTGCCACGTTATAAACGTTTGTAAACTTCGGATCCAAAAAGGCCAAATTTTAGGGGCACCCAACGACTGTTTTCTACGAAATATCTGTTCGGAAAAGCAAAAATTGCCTAGAATTTTCTATAGCTTGAGGAAGGCTAAAAAATTTCTAGATGACCTTTCCATTCCTGTACAATTTTCGAAGCTTTTCTATAAAATTCCCTAAGATTTTCTAAAGTTTAATTTTCCCATTTCACTCTCCAATGTTAGGCTATTTTTCGTAGAGAAAGGAAACCTAAAATTTTCGGAATCGAAAATGCGATGCACAGAGGAATCAGAAAAACTACCACTTTCGTAAAACTTTAAATTGCAGCTAAAATTTTCGGGAAAATAAAACTGAAGCCCTTGTAATTTCGAAAAAACTCAAGTTGCACCAAGATGACCCAACAGGTATAAATTTTTTAGCGCCACTTAGAATGCATTTCTAGACATCTAAAAGTACTCTGGATTGCCTAAAAAGTGTTTTCAAAGCATTTAGGAGGAAACCGTCGTTGGGTGCCCCTGAAATTTATGGACATATAGAGGCTATGGACGACTGACAGAGACTGTAAACTGACTGAGACGTTATACATTTTCATAAAGACCTCCTTGTCTTCTGTACACACACTGATCCACTTCATTTCCAATTCATTATGAACCACTGATCCAGCTTTAAAAATTAATTGCAATTCTGGCGCCATACTATTGACTGATATAGTTCAAAACATAGTTTGGAACATAGAAAATTACCTTGTTACTATTTTGTCAAATGCAGCAATTGTGTCTTTCCTTTAAATTTAAAATAAATTGTGGCTCCTACGATCTGTGAGTGATAAAGCAATAATGGATTTTTTTCCCATCAACGGCTGGCTTAATAGCATATTATATTTATAGATGATGGCATGATATTATCTCGACATGATGTGTCCAAAACGTGGAAGGAAATGCAAATGCTGCGACACCTCACAGAACTCATCAGTTCAAATCACGCCGGGATGACAAAGTTCCCTAATATGTAAACTAGCAATAATTGACACTACAGCTGCCCCCGCTCTGTATATTGTCGCTCAATAGTATTCTTGGTCGTTGTACAGCTCTTTGAAATATACCGATTCATAATGAAGATGTTCACACATATTCCATACAACAGGTGAGAGTAAAAACAGGAAACGCAAGGTTCCTGAGATGCACTGCTATTCAGTTCGATTTACACAGCTTTGATCTGAAAACATTCTCAGTTTCGAGAATAATTTATTCTAAACCATTAGAAAAGATTTAATGAGAAGTTGGAATTTCTCGGTATTTCTATTTTATACCTTTTACATACCCAGGCAGTTCATTTTATTTCCCGAAAAGTAAGCCTCAGAAATGAACAGAGGTTTGATCAATTCACGCTCGTACCAGCAGGGAATAACACAACACAGCATTTGATTGTCGGCAAATTCTCTGTTCGTCCATCGTTCTGCTAGTGTCAGGCTAGCCGTTGATTCACTCGTCTTGCTTGTTTGGGACTGAGTCTTTAATATTGTTATTCTCCCAAAGAGAGAGACAGAGTGTCTGGAAAATTGTTTCCAATCAAAGATTTGTGAACTCGTGTCTGGCAAACTCTTCAAGTGTTTATTTATACACAGTTATACAGACCTTAAAACTTCATCTGCGCTTAACGAGCGTCTTTTGGTCGATCACTTAACAGCTACTCCACAGAATGTCACTGATAACACGTAACGCTAAATATGACACTAAATGTCACGAAATCTTCCTATTGGTAAGCGGTTCCTTCGGAATTTTCTAACCTCCAAATAGGGATTTTTGATTAACTGCTACCCCTCTTTATTGTGATGTCACAATTAAACTCCCTTTGGGATTTTCTGATTTACGTCATCCTAACCATCTTTTACTTGCGGGCGCAAACAATAGAAACATCATCATCACCTACAGTAGCATATGTCTAATGCCGCACGCCGATTTACTGAGCGAAACAGATTCGATTGGGAGCAAAAAATTGCAATATTCGTGTCACTAAATCAAACCAGTTGCCAGTGAAAGCCAATCAGATTTAGAATGAGTTTAAAATGGATGTGATAGAGAAAACAAGAAATCTCGGCCAAAGAATACAGTACTGAATATTAATCCTACTGTTTGGTTGAATTTTAGTGGCGTCTGAACTGTTGGATAAACGACAGTCTCAGTGCCATATTTATTCTACAAGTGCCACATTTTACCCTGCCTGTTTTGAGGTCTTGCCTACTTAAACAAGCATGAATTCTAGATAAATATAAATAAGTCCAGTTGAAGACTTGTCATTCTTTAAGACTCCATCTTGCATTGTAACAGTAAGCCTCTCTGCCTAAATGTCACTATACCAACAAGACCCAACAAGGTGAAAACTGAAGAATGAGGCAGTATGATACGTAGGTCCTGATTTCTCATCATCAATTTTCGCCTTACCGCTAACATAATGCTTTATTGCCATAATATTTGCAGCCGCAAAGATCAGCACGCCGCTGGCGATAAGACAGATTTCAAGCACAGCCATCCTCGCTGAGACAGTGCGGAAATCCGAGCCCTGGCGGTTGCAGGGTCTTGCAGACACTTACAAGCAATAATAATGACTAATACTGATGAATCATGGTAAAAAGGAGGGGGTGGGGTGGTTGCAGCTCCAACTTCCCCCCCTCCCCTTGAGGGGTTTGCTGTGCAACAGCCATTCAGTTATTGATCAAACTGATGCAAATGTATATTTACCAAATCAAAGCTAATAGAGGTTCTCATAAGTACTGAAGTTATGACTCGGACATCATTCTGAGCGGTGAAATCAGGGCACATTGTAAATACTGAGCTTATCTGAAAATATAGATAAGAACGAAAAGGCAACGCTTGTCTTTCTTAGATGTCTTAGCGTGAACGATCGCAAACTGTGTAAAAACTTTTGATGCGTTTTAAGTGTTAACAGGAAAACGGAATGGCGCGGATCTCATGGTCATCGACTTACTTAATTACGTATACATTTGCTTTTGTTTGTTTCTTTTTAGAAGACCCACAATCCTATATTTGTTTTTTGTTTGTTGATTTGCTTGTTTGTTTTTGTTCACACAGCGGAAATGTACCTTGCTGATAAAACGGCAGAGATTTCTATGATTTCAGGAACTGAATACCTCCACGTCTTTAACTCATGCCCAGTGCATTTTTGAAGGCCTGGTTACTTAATTTCTTTCAAAATCATATGCAAGAATTCGTAAGAAACATAGAAACACTGACTAAAGTGCGTCATATTTAGGAGATTGATATTACTCCAGCCGAGCATAATCACTAATGTTTTTACCATGGTTTTTTGGGTGACGCCGTGAAGATTGAATTCCACTGCTCTAAATCTTGTCTATACTTTGTACTACTTTTATTAGCCGTCGTATTGCTGGTTTGAACGTGACGTCATGGCGGCTATGTTGGTGGTCAAGAACAAAAGGATTTCTTTTCTTCTGGGAACAAAACTCTATTTTCGTTATTTTCATGTAAATTCTTCGAGAAAAAAATTCTATTGTTTTGACCCCCAAAACTCCCTGGCAGCCTTGTCTTTGTGGTTGCAAACTAAGAATTGATTTATACTGTAGTGCACCTTATGTAATGTTAAAGTTTTCATATCTTCTGTTTACTTCAGTTGGAACGTGATCATGACTTAAAAAGATGACCCTCTACCTTCTTAGATTAAAGTCTATTGTAATTATTTACTCATTTTAAAACTCAAATCTTGTATGCTTGGTGAAATTAAATCATGAGCCGATATTCCCGAAACTTTCCTGTTAAAAGAGTACCACAAGTATATACCTATTAAACGCAGAACTGTTTTCTCCCAGTTAAAAAAATGGAAGACCAAATTGTGTTTTCCTTGGTTTAGAAACGATGCTTGTAGTCGGCTAATGGTTCATTTATTTTGCCAATCAACCATGTCGAGTCAGCGATGAAATGTTTTACCGCGGCTGTCCATAATCCATCAGCGAAACAAGTGGCGAATATCAATATTTTGGGAATAGTTGTCACCTTGAAGAGGTACAGAAGACGGAACGGAGGCTTGAGGGCGAGAAGAAGTTTTAAGCTGTTGCTCTTTTGGAATAGTGCAGAAGCTTGCAGAGAACATTTACTTCATATGAATGGACAGCTTTCAATGCTTGCATGGCTGATCATCGCTTTTGTTACTGTGGCTGGCACTGGAACTCTAGCTTACTTTTACTACAAATTGCTTAATTATTTCATCAGAATGAAGATTGAAGCCGAACCTGATCCTGAGCCTGTAGAGAGAGAAACAAAATTAAAAAGAACGTTTCGGGTCCAAGAAGGACAAGATTCTGACGAAGAAAGAATTAACATATTCAGAGAAATTAATAACAGTGACATGACAATCGAACGAACTTGAAAAAATCGTCAGTTACTTCTTAGTTGGCTAGTTAGTTATATTAGTTAGTTAGAGTATCAAAAACGTATAAGTTTTTTCTTGTCGTACTACGACGCCATCGGGCTAATGTAAGTATTATGCAGTTAAAAGGAACAGACATTGTCTTGCTCATATAAGCTCCTTTACTTTGGTAATGAATAAATTTGACAACTGAACTAACTAATTTGCTTTAGTAATTCAGCAGATAATCGCTGCTAAGTTCTTCTCCTCTGTAAATCCTGCTATGTGTCTATTCTTAAAGTTATAGACACTGAGTAAATTTGCAAGTTTCTTCAGAAAAATTACCATCTTGCTTAGATATTGCTACATAGATACTCGTCATCGTACAAGTGCTAACAACACTCCTTAACGCTTGTATGCCTTGGAAGTCCGTCAAAACAAAGTATCAGTTTGTTCTATTTCGTTCCATATGTATTACTAACAGTTTCCGCTCAAACTATCCTCGTTGTTCCTTGTTATATTCTCCAATCACAGTAAGCTTTGTATATAGGGTGACTACTTCTAAGTATATATGCCAGGGGAAAATCCGTGAGAAGAAACTGGGTACAGGTGTACGTATTTCGAATCCTTGTCCTTTGCCTTGCTTGACGCTACCGCATACGCTATGGCACCAAACACACACACAGAAAGAACAGAAACTCCGACAAGTAGTCCGATCGCAATAGCAGAGTCCACTAAAATTGATAACATTTCAGCGATGACCACAGTCTTGAATGATATGGGTCTGTCATGAGCAGAATAGATAAGAGATTGTAGCTTCAGGTGAGTGAATGCAAAATTATGGGGCATGGAGAGAGATATCAGGGGTTTTCGAGGAATGTGTTGCAGTTCATTATGCCAAAAATATGGACACTGGCAGACCACTTTTGGAAATTTTACTCTTAAGGAGAAACCCTTTGGAAATTCAGTTTTTATTTCTGGAAACTTGGTCCACTTCCCAGGTTGTTCTCCTTGCTCGAGTTGGTCCTGTTCGGATGGACTAAATTTAAAGTGGACACACATAAACTTTATTGGCCCGTCCGAGATCCAACCTCTTACACTTTTATGTACTATTTAACAGACCTAACAGAAATGGTACTCCTTTAGCATACCTGATGCCGCTGAAAATGGTACCCCTATCATAAACACTGCACTGCATCCATTTTCTAAACGGCCTTAGAACTATGAAGTTAATGAAAGGGAAAATATTACGCATTACCAGGGGAGATGACCAAAATTGTTATATTCCTAGACTTTCACCCAACTAGACACTGGGAATGCCACTGGTTGATTCTTGGTCGCTCGGTTTGACCTTGACTAACATCAAATGTATCCCGATCGTGATACATTGAGCACAAGGCGGCCACACAATCAGTGTGTGTAACCGATGTTACGTCATAGTAAATGTACTGGATTTATCGTTTGCCTCACCCATGGCGATATATCGCTAAGTATGTATATGAATCAATGAAAAATAAACGTTGAATTACCTTACCTGTGGTATCTGATAGTCGTCCTTTTGTCTCAAAAGCGGTTTTTTGAGCTATTTTGAGGGAGTTTTTACATTCCCGGGTACATTCATTCAAACCACAAAGGACCGCAAACGAGTATCCTGGAGCGTAGAATCTAAAAAAGACCTGATCAGCAAAAATAATTACACTGAGTAGAAACACTAAATTCTGCAAAGCTGCTCGTACTACGTGAAAATTAACTCTGCAAGACATCAACACGACACCGAAAGAACCAAAACAGAGCGGGGTTGTAGCAGTAGACAGCTGTTTCGCCATTGTTGTGGCCTCATCAGTACGGCGCAACAAACACAGAAGCTCTAATCTGAAAAATACCCGCGCCTGTTTATAAGCCCTAACATTGAACTCCAGCACCCACAGAATCACGTCATATCACGTGTTCCCGAGAAGGCAAGAGTCCAAGTGTCGTTTTGATGTCTTGCAAAGAAAATATAGGATGGAGTAAACCAACCTTAGAAACATGGGCAAAACCATGCAAAAATGAACAGCATATCGGACTCCCTATAATAGACCTACGGCCCCAAAATAAGTAAGTAATAGATTCATGGTTTTCCCATGTTTCTAAGGTTGGTTTAAAATCTAGATCTTGTATGATGTTATCCACGTATCTTCATTCGGTAAGGTTTTCTGTTTTGGTAGAGATTTATTCCCTAATGTAAGTTTACATGAAGATTTGCACACACATAGTACACTCTGCATCCAAATTGTTTTATAAAGACACGCCTTTTCTGCAGTTTCCGCACTGGATTTTGAAAACGTTTTGTTTCTGAAGGTTTTGTTTACCTTTTCTGGTTTAAAATGGAACAAACTCTTCCTAGATTTGGCTTGCTTTACTCGCTTCACCGTCATTTTTAGGGAGTTTATATAACTCCAAAAATGGAGTAAAAATTTTAGGTACAGGTTAACTCCTTTTTGGGGGTTATTTTAATTAACTCCTAATTTAACTCCGAATTTGGGGTCATTTTTACTACTGAAAAAGAGTTCTTTTTACTCCCAGTCTGGAGTATAAAATAACTCCGAAATGGGGTTACTTTTTCTCCTTACATGGGTTGTATCAAGATAGAATGAGCTAAGATCATTCTCTCTTGGTTGTATTTATTATTTTTGGAGTTAATTTAACTCTGAAAGTGGAGTAAAATTTTAGGTACAGGATAACTCCTTTTTGGGGGTTATTTTAACTTCACAATATCTGGGTTCACTTTTAGTCCTGAAAAAGAGTTCTTTAAACTCCTTTTTGGAGTTAAAATAACTCTCCAAAAAATAACTCTACTGTAAGGAGTTAAATTAGCCCCACCAAAGGAGTTATTATAACTCCTTGAAAATTACTGTGTTCACGTCGGATTCCGCTTCGGCATGTATGTTTTCTCAGCCCGTTTTCCAGAAGTTGTGCTATTTGGCTGAGACGATCTCTTCATTCCAAGACACGTTCAACGCCTAATATCGGGAAAACTAACAGGGTAGACCTCGACATTTACAAAGAAGAAAGGTTGAAGAAAAAAGTTGACCAAATTAATCCGACAAAATCGCTAACAGTAACCAGCAATGAATCCAAGAACAGCGGTTAAAATAACACTCAAATCATCGAAGGGGCTTGCACATGACCGAGCAATTCAAACTTGTCACAAAAACTCAAGAAAGCAAAATATTTAAAAGTAGTGCAACTGCTATCACGAAAAAGTGTTACAACAACCTCCACGACGGTATAGTGTCAAAATTCCCTACACAAGCTTGGAATAAAGCGAAAATTTCGCTAGATACACCTCTGAAAATGGCTATTTTCAGCGCGAAAATCACCCCTCCAAATAACGCATTCTGATTGGTCGAATCTCGTGACGCACATCGCCTGGCCGCACCCTTTATTATGCGACTGTTGCATAGCTTTGCCATTGTGAAGAACTCGTCGAGCAGGTCGAGGTAAGACTCTTAAAATTTTTAGACTGGTTCTTTCTCCGATTTTGCTGGCGGAATTGTTTCATGGCGTTTGTTGTAAACGCTCATACGATATAGTGCTCAAAGGCGCACACTTGTATCCCCCTGCGCGAGAGAGAATCATCCGAAGAAGTGCGAAGGCGAAGAAATGGACACAATAGTTCGAATGCTGGATCAATTCCGCGATTCTACCCGCCTTTTAAGTCCGGCTCTAAACTTCATTCTCATGTTGTATGTTTTGCGCCAATTTTCGTTTCAATACATTGTACTTGTTTAGAGATAAATTTAGGAGTATGAAACTGATTTCCGTTGGCGGTTAGGCTGAGGTAGCAACTGCATTCATAATTCAGTTAGCAATTTAATCACACTCCATGCAGCTAAATGCAAATCTAACTTTTCTTCAATTGTTTCATTTTAATTTCTGCCTTTACATGTAACTGAATGAGAAGCAATTCTTATGACTAAATATTTTACCGTAAGAATTAGGCTTTTTAAGTATCACTGCTCGAAATGCGTTTCGTCCGCCATCTTAATTGAGGGGTATAGTACGATGTCGAGTTCAACGAGTCGCCGACGTCTTAAAAATCTTACATTGTTCAGTTTCTAAGCATTCTTAGCCTGACGCATTTGACTACGCGTTTATGAAAGTTTCTGGTCAGAAACACGCCTCTCAGATTAGTGTTTACTACTCAGTAGAGAGACAAACAAACCATGATCTTTGCCAAATTTGGAAAAAAAAAGCGGCACGAATCCTGCGCATGGAATTTTTATTGGTCTGGGGAAAAACTCGAAACAATGCCTAGGCTAACAGGTAATATTTCACTATTACTTGTGAATAAAATGAGAGAAATTGACGATAAAGGTTGTATGCGAGCACTAGCACTATGAAGAAATTATTTCTTAGAAAGAAGACCTAGATTGAGCAAGCCGAGGTTTCCTCGAATTTTAAGACCTTTTAACTTCCCGTTTTTGTTTTAGCCCCGCAGAGGTAATGAAAATCGTATGATTCATAAGATCATCAACAAAATTGGACTGGCTACACGTTTAAAGCTACACTTTTTGACCAGGACTGAGAGCAGCTTGAGGTAGGCAATTCATTTGTCGAAAAGGTTTTTTCAGATTACACGTAACAGCTAATACGCGCCATCTTGTCCAAAACGCGTCAGAGGGCTAGTTACGACGGTTATCCGACGAAATACTACTAGAAGAAAACCAAATAATTACCCAAAATACTGCAAACACTGTAAACTTTATGCACAAGGAAAAAGATTCTTCTAAGTGACGTACAAAATTTGTCTATGGGCTAGAATTTATTCCATCGTGCGTTAGGTGAGGAAGAGAAATGCTGAAGGTCACGCTCAAAACTGACTCGGTTTGTAAACAACTGTTGATCTCATTTTTGTCTGGGGATGCGGCCGGAGGCAGTCAACTTTAACCATGCAAGATTATCGTCTGGATATAGGAGTATTTCTAGTATCCTTTCCATTTTTCAGATTTTTCTTAGCAGTTGCCAAATACAGTCGAACCTCCACTAACGGCCATCTATCAACAACAGCCACCTCTCTTACAACAACCGCCTCTTTATTTTGTCCCGGCGCGGGACAGTCCCTACATTGAATCTTATTTAAACCTCTCTACAACCAGGGGCACCCAACAATGGTTTCCTAAATACATTGAAACTCTTTTTAGGCTATCAAGGGAAATTACTTTTACAATTGAAGGGGAAAAGCTAGCTAGTTATCTTTTTTTTGTCTCGCAGCACAGGGAACAGCACTGAAGCTTTTGAGGTAAAGTTAAAGTCTGTAAGAAACAATCTCACTTGTCTTATATCAAATTTTACTCTTATGAATAATGCACATTTTGTTAATCCGCAGCCTAAAAAGCAAGGAATAAGGAGCTACCCAGTATACAAGTGTAAATACTAACGAACTATCAGTAAACATCAAATGACGACAATAGATGATTATTAATTCCAGCGTCTGTCCCTTTCCCGGAAAGACCGACAAAAAAACAAAGGATTTCGTAATATTTGTACCCCTTGGTGAGGTCATTGCTGTCCTATCCGTCTTTATTGACTTTTGGGGTTCATTTTCACCATTACTTCATATTGGTAGGGAATCCGATAAGAACTCCAAATTATAACGTAGTTACGAAAGTGCAGTTTCAAGCATAGCTAAGCATGTTCCTGACCTTGCATGCATGTCTCTAGATAGGAGTTTACTTCGCCAGTGGACGCCCTCAATAAGCTCATGATCATTCAAAATATGTTCACGAATGGCGTTGTACACCGAATGAAGATAAGCGTCCAGCTGAAAGCGGGACATGATGATCGTCACACTAGCTTGCGATATTTCTCAAACCAAAAAAAAAGTTGAGCTGGGTCCTTAAGTTTTGCTTCAGGAGGCTTCTCTATAATTGGTCGTTCTAGCCGCCATAATTCTTGAATGTATTTTCCTACATAAACTGTTATTATAGTTTTAAACTGGAAGACAATGGCGGCTATTATACTGTTTTCGATACTTTCAGTTGCAATAAAACCATAAACTATAAACTGCATGCTTCTCGAAAATGGAAATCAAAAGGTTTGGTACCCTGCGAGAAGAAGTTTCTCTCTTGCATGGAACCGACTACTCGACAGACAAGCCACGCAAACGATTTCGTAAACGTTAGAAGCCATGCAAGAGAAAAAACTCTGCTCGCAGGGTAAAGGTTCATTGAATGTTTCCTCTTTCGGCCAGTTTTAGCAGAACACCAGGTGGCGTTTATAACCAGGAAATGGCAGAGTTCAATGCTGTTACTACACGAGTTAATGCTTATTATAGAAGAGATCTTCCAAGAGAGGTAAACTAACTTCATTGTTGACATTTTGGAGGCGGCTGCGTGAAAGGAAACAAACAGAAGGCAAATGTGATTTTTAGGACCAGCTGTAAGACTACCTTATCACCCTCGCCAGACTTGACAGGGAGTAACTCACAACGGCTTGTCGGTTCGGTTATTTTGGGCCATGTCATGTGGATGGGTTAAACAACTGTGAGCCCCTTAAAAAATTTTAATTTCCCCATCACATCCGTGAAAGATGCCGATCCGATACCACACCGGGTGGTTGACGTGCCCTGTTCTTTTGACTTGACGTTCTGATGATTTTTTGGGGGGGACCGACCTCTTTGAATTGAAAAGATTAGAATCAGAGAGAAGGCGTATGTGGAGTTAATTGTGGCACAATAACGTGTGAGTTTCTGTTTTCAAAAGGTATCAGTTTAGTGCTGTTTGATTCTTGAATCTTTTTAGAAGTTGTATGAACGAAAAGAGGATTTCAATATTCTTATACTTGGAGAAACTGGAGTAGGCAAGTCCACCTGGATCAATGGAATCGCCAACTACTCTAAGTATAACTCCCTCAAGCATGCCATGGATAATCCTGAATTCACTGTTTTAATTCCCTCAAGGTAGAATAGTTTTGCTAACACCCAATAGAGAGGAGAAGTCCTTTCGTCACGTTGCCATGGTAGCAGAATTTTTGGATGACAACAAACCGATAAAGTCACTTAAAAGTCTATTCGCACTATTTTAAACTTCACCGATCTTATTCACTTTCATTTAATTTGGCAAATCTTGGCGAAATTTTCTTTGGGACCTAAGTTATATTATCTAAGTTAAGGAAAGAAAGCGACAATTTTTGTGTTGTGTTTACCTACTCCTGCTATAAAGCGGGCTCGTGAAATTAGGAAGTTTCATGTCGGAGTGGTGTAACGACGGCAAAGAAATGTACAAAAAAGCATGATGCACGTGCAAAGTTGTTGTTTTTTAATATAAACATATTATTTTTTGCCGTTCCCCTTGCCGTCACCGTCGTCGTTGGTTTTGTTGTCATCCAGAAATAGTGCTGCCGTGGTAACATGACGTCAAACTTCTCCTCTCTATTGCAGGTTGTGCTACTTAGTAAAACAAACTGAAGAGCTTCTATCACTTTTTCGAGTTATCTAATGTTGCATTATAGATTGGCGAGGAGACAGATTAGTCTAGAGTATAAGAGCTGCGAAATAATACACATTAAACACCTAGGCGAATCCTTGCTGACGACATTGTTTACATCTTGTATACATGTATACAAATTAGCTTTGAAAATTGAAAGAGATTTATCATAG